AGTGTGCAGACATGTCAGTACATGTCACAGACAAGTTGACGTGAGCAAGCAAGTGTGAAGCTGTAACTAAATCTTCTACATCCCTCCGGGGATGCCTGCAAGTGTGTGTGTGTGTGTGTGCGCGTGTGTGTGTGTGTGTGTGTTTCTCATATATATGTATATATAGATATACACACGCATACATACAGCCTACACACATGAGCGTGTCCACTGTACATATCTCTACGTGTACGCAGCTAGGCTTGGAGCTTGCTTCAGAAGTGTGATCTGTTATGTTCGCCCAAAAATCCCTCGCCCAATTCAACGGCTCGATGCTTCCAGTGTGATTTCCCAAGGTTGATGAACATAGGAAGATACCCTCTTCAGGTTTGGGGGCCTTTGACCTCTAATGTTGAACCCCATGGGCCCCTAATATGGGCCCTTAACCTTGGAATCCTTATATACCTAATATACCCTATATGCACCCTTAAGGGTCCCTGAAATCCCCCTAAAAGGCCTAAGAAGGGACCCATACTTCTACCCTCAGAGCTGCAGTCGACTGCTAAGCTACTATGACTGAATCTATGTGCGGCGATGGCGTCTATTGAGTTATAATGTGGACAGCTGCAGGCCCGCAACAGGCATCAATCAATAATCGAATGGATCGCAATGTTCAGGTTCTTAGGGCCAAGGGTGAAAGTGCTCGATGTATAGTTCCCCTTAAGTAGATAGAATATGTTATTACCCAATATCATTAGAAGATCCCCGTATACCCCATATGTTATCTACTTTAAGGGGGACTATACCCTCAACATTAAACCCGAAATAGTAGTTTCCATTTTCTTTTCCATTATCTCAATATAACCCCCTATAACATACCCCTAAACCCCAAACCCTAGCCACTATACACCCTAAACCCTAAATCCTAAACCCTTCAGGGGAACTATGCTCCCGTCATGCTTCGGCACTCTGCGTACCGTGCCTGGCCCAGTTGCCCCCGTGGGGCACAGATGGTGGATCCAGCGACCTGCTGGCGGAAAATGGAAATTTCAAAGGTGGGCTTATTGCTATTACGTTTATGATTAGTATATTACTATTAGTACTATTACTACTATTACTACTATTACTATTATTACCATTATTACTACTATTATTACTACTATTACTACTACTATTATTACTACTATTATTACTATTGCTATTACTGGCTTCCGGATTTAAGGCCTTGCTGGGCTTAGGGCCTGGGGTTTAGGGTTTGGGGGTGGGTTGCAGGCTGAAGGGTTAGGATGTGGGGTGTCGGATTCAGGATTCAGGATTTCAAGGCCTGTGGCAACGGAAACGAGTTGAGGACACACCCAATTATTCGGCCGCCATGAACGTAGCGGAAGAAGAGTATGAATAAGCAACTTTGCCATTGAACTGCCACTTGCTACTCAGTTCAATGGGCATTTCAAATGCTGAACCCAAAACCCGCAGCCCTGAGTCCTAAACCCTAAGTTTGCAGTCCAAACCCCACCCCCAAGGACGTGTCAGGGAGGCAGCATCAAGTTCTGCTGCTCGTTCCGGCCGAGGCTGTGCATATACCTCACACACACACACACACGGTACAGGATTTACAATTTATAGCGCCCTTAAGTAGATAGAATATGGCTTTGGGTATATTATAAGAAGATCCCCATATACCCCATATTCTATCTACTTAAGGGGACACTGTGTAGTGCAGGCTTGCAAGGAAGAACAACTGAGGCAATGGCTTTGCCCAGATGACAAAGGTGTCACACTTGCCCTGCAACAGCAGAGCAGCATTCAGGAACCCCGATGGCCACGCTTGGCCTGCCCTAAGTAGGGCTAGTCTAGGCCAGTAGCCCACCTTAAGTTGCAAGCCCCAAATCCTAAACCTCTAACCTTCAAAAACTAAACCTTCACGTTGTGCGTTTACAAGAACCCTACAAGGACTTCAATGGGTACCCTGGGCACGGATACCCAAGAATGTAGTGGGAAGGATCCTGGTAGGTATTACATTTTTACTATATTGCTATTTCCCAAATAGGGAGACCCCAATATAGACCTACCCGTATGTTGGGAAACTCGCATATTCTTGGGGTTCCCCTGTTTTGGGGTTCCCATTAAAAGTCCTCTTACAACCCAACCTGCCAACCGGCTGTCTTCTCGATCCGCAAGGGTGAGCCTGTAAACCTGAGTGAAAGGATGGCAGCAGATGGAGGGGAGTCGGTAGAGGATTTAGGGTTTGGGGTTTAAGAGTTTAGGGTTTAAGGGTTTGGGGTTGAGGATTTGGGATTTAGGGTTGAAGGGTCTAGTGTTGAAGGGTTTAGGGTTGAGGGCTTAGGATATAGGGTTTAGGGTCTGCACAACATGAGGGTACCCTTAAAAATCAGGAGTGTATAGGGATTGCTGAGACAAGTGGTGGGATCCCTATTTGGGATTCCATAGCGGCTGATTATTTTGTCAAAATAGGCAAAATCAGTCCTGAAACGAAAGGCTGGCCCGCAAACGAGTGAAACACATATGCAAGCACATTGAACACCAAGACTTTCTAAGCTTGCCATTGCTGCAGAAGCCAAAAACCGTCATGACTCGTCAGCCGCCTTTACAAGTCCTCGATTCTTGCTAGTACTTTTGATTACCGTTACCACCACCACAGCAAGAAGAAGGCCACGGTGACATAACGGACCATACAGTTTTGCGGCACATGCCCTTGGGGTTGCGGTCATGCCTTTCCAACATGTGTTTATGCAAGAAGGAATTCCAGAAGGAGCCCTAGTGGGCTGGGACAACTATGCAAACCCAAGTTTCGTACAAGCAGGCGTTGCAAAGGGGTTTGTGCGTGATACTACGCGAAGATATGACCGGGATTTTGATAAATGGGTGGACCCAATAAACTCTCCCCGAAAAGCCCTAACTTTTGGCAACCCGCATAACAATCAATTTCAATCCACAGCCTCTTTCAACTGACTCTCCAATAACTATTGAGGGTCATATACAATGATGATCCACAAAAAGAATAAGTTTTTCATATCTTGCCTTTCCATTCCTCGTTCCTAGCAGAAGACATTCCAAAAGAGCGGTTTCGCATGCTTGAACGGTGCTGCTTCACCTGGCCAAGCCCAAACCCTGTCTGTGCCGAGTTTCCACGCCTGCCAGCGTCCCAATGCTCTAAAAAGCAGAAATACTACCTCCACCAATACCACCACAACCGATGCACACCACCACCACTATGACTAACACACCCTAAACCCCTACACAACTAAACCCTAGAAAAAAAAAACATTCTAAACCCCTCTTCTTCCGAAGCGGATGGAGACAAGTTGTCGCACTCATGAATTCATCCTAAACCCCTAAAACCCTAAACCCTGAACCCTAACCACCAACAGCCAGCCGCAAGGAGAAGGTGTAAGCTCCCTGCTCTGGCAATTCAATGGACTGGTCACCTTCAGAGTGGACCTTCTTCAGCGTGCCGTACCTTGAAGGGTTTTAGGGTTTCAGGGGTTTAGGGCTTTAGGAGTTTAGGGGTTTAGGGCTTTAGGGGTTTAGGGTTTAGGGGTTGGGGGTTTTAGGGGTTTAGGGGTTTAGGGGTTTAGGGGTTTAGGGGTTTAGGGTTTAGGGGTTTAGGGTTTAGGGCTTTAGGGGTTTAGGCGGTTTAGGGTTTTAGGTGTTTAGGGTTTAGGGTGTACCTTGAAGCTTCTGGATCTTCAGGCGGGTAACCCATTTGGGGTTATATTGGGTTGTGTAGTGGGAGAATGGAAATAACTTGGAAACTACTATTTAGGGTTTAGGGTTCAGGGTTCAGGGTTTAGTTTAGGCTTAGGCTTTAGGGTTTAGGTCTCCTCATGTACACCAAAAGACCAGGATCGTCATCAGGGTGAGCAACTGTTAGAAATCCTTGAGATAGCTACATGGCTCCAGGCCCAGGCAACGCCCCCAACTTCACTGGCATCTGCTGGGGCCGCCACAGCGCAGTGACATACCAGAACTCATCAAGACCTCCAGCGACAACAGCTTGGGTCTTTCAACGATGAAGGCTTCAACAGTCACAAGCGGCGTGCATCCCCAATTTCGGTTGTCTGCGAAGTTGTTGTCCAACATATTGTTCCACCTCAGCTCGGTTCCATATGCAACACACCTTGCCTCCACTCTTTTGCCTTGTCTCCCTCTCTATCCAGCCATCCAGCGTCTGGGCACCAGTCCCCAGCTGATTCATCTTGAAGTACGACATGAAGTTGTGCATCACACCCTTCTGCCACATCTCCTGGGCAAGCATCGAGCATCGCGCAACACAAACGGCGTTTACATCGTCATCATCATGGCAAACAGAGTCACAACGGTAATCCACTCAACACTTCGACCTACCAGAAAGGATCCTAAGGCTTCCTTCGTCTTCGCAAGGCTCCCCATTTGAGGCCGAGAGACGGAAGCACGTTCAGCATGGTGCCGGGATAGAGTGATCCACTGGTGAACCTTCACGGCAACCTCCCAAAGTCTGAGAGACGACACGCGGTCCCCTGGCCTTGCCCCTTAAAAGCAGGAAACAACACCAGTACCATTCAAAAGCAAAATGGTCATGGGAATATCTCCAACATTGGAGGCAACGGAGTGGTGCTCATTCTTTCCTAGGTCCTCAAAGCTATACCCAACCCCCCAACCCCCCAAACTCTGCAAACTACGGTAATACAGTACAGACTGCATGGCCTCAAGACCTTCCCCATCTGGATTGGGAAGATCTGCCCACTCTCCTGGCGGGAATACCTGCCAACAGAATGGACCTGCTAAGGAACTTAAATTAAGTTACCACAATGGCATGTGGGTGGTTGTCAAAATTATGGCCCCTTTTTGGATCCCTATTATAATACGGCACCTAATATTTGGGGAACCCAAAAAGGGACCATAATTTTGACATCCACCCATGTAGTTACTAGTAGGGCTTCCTGATTTCAATACCTTAATTTAAGTTCCCCAGCAGCAGCCAAGAAGGGAGTGTTCTTGAATCTTGGGTAGGGATGCCTAGAGCGCACAGCTTGGGTTTTGTCGTTTAGGGCTTAGGATTTGGGGGGGTTGAGGGCTTTGCGCACAAGAATGGAAGCGCATATGGCATATTATGGAACCCTGTCAAATTCGAATATTCTTCGGGGCACCTTGAGATCCCAGGTCTGCTGGGGAAGATAAGGACAACAACGCTCTCAGGCAACATCCAGAAGCAATAACGTGAAGGAGCAAGCATGTCAAGCATCTAGATCGCTCAACTGCGGCGCAAATTCTGGCCGGGAAAACGCAGAAATCGGAGCCATCCCGCTCGCCGAGTGTGTGGTAGATCTGCATGGCGGTGGCATGAGCGGGTTTGCATGTACCCCTCGTAGCAATACTATGGCCCGCTTTGAAAAGCAGACCTTTAATTCTTGGAGACCCCCGGCTGAATGCTTGGTGGGACATGAGGTTTGAAAGCTGCTGATTCGTTTAGGGTTCTGGGATGTAAGCTGGAAGCTCCAAAAGTACGGACGCCTTCTTTAGGGTTGGTGGGTTGGGAGTGCCTCAAGATTTGGGTGCAGAACCTCCGCCCACACCCCGAAACCGGATGATGATGAAGAAGAAGAAGCCCTAAACCCCAAACTCTAAACCCTGATATTGATGATATTGATGTCGCTTGTCTGAATCCTCATATGTGGGTCTCAGCCCCTGGCGCCGAACCCTCAGCCCCAAACCAGCCCTCAAGCCCCCAATCCCCAAACTCCAAGCCCTGAACGCCAAAAGGAGCTTGAGAGGAAGTTGCAGAGATTGTTAGGCTTTGGGGTTTAGGGTTTGTAGCGTTTAGGGGATTAGGGTTCAGGGTTTAATTTAAGGGATTATGTAGAGATTGCCTGGAATCTGTTCTATGGAGTGAGATAGAAACAACCCCTAAACCCTAAACCTTAACCGACCCCCCAACCTCCCTCATAGTCTGGTTGAGAGCTTCGGCTGAACGCAGGGGGAGAGGCGCAGAACGCGCAGCGCACAACCACCTACGCCTAAAGGTCTCCAATAACTCACCGGTGCTTGGTGGGGAATAAGGGAACACAATGCCCATAGAATCCTCATGTGTTAATATGTTCCTGTATTCCCTCCTACCCCCCCTGTGATGCCGGTTTCGGGTTTAAGGGACAGCCTCCTCGAAGGGTTTGGCAGGCAGCGCCGAGTCCGAGACGAACGCGAACTTGTCGCGCGCCTCTTCTGATGAGTGGTGAGGTACGGGAGGGGCCTGGGGGAAGGGGGAGGCAAATACGTTACAAGGATTTAGGGTTCAGGGTTTAGGATTTAGGATTTAAGGTTTACGGTT